AGAAAGAAAGAAAGAAAGAAAGAAAGAAAGAAAGAAAGAAAGAAAGACATGGATGGATGGATGGATGGATGGATGGATGGATGGAGAGATAGAGACCAAGATGGGGAGAGGGGGAGATGGAGAGACAGAGAGAGATCATAAATAGACAGAAAGGTAGGTAGGTAGATAGGTAGATAGATAGATAGATAGATAGATAGATAGATAGATAGATAGATAGATAGATAGATAGATAGATAGATATTGTTTGTATGTGTACAGAACATGAGCTAATTTAGATGCACAAATACAATTTTCCAAAGGCTGTAATTACTAACAATGCAATTTATTCGCAAACAAACAAGTGCCATGCTTCATACTAACCGAAACCCAAAATATCCACTTCCACCCGTAATGAGGACAGCTTCCCTGCCTGGATTTTCTCTTTCCATGTCTCCGCCCACAATCCTAAACTGTAAAGAGAAAGCATGATATAACCTTTGTAAGCACAACATGCAAGCCATAACTTGTATTTCGTATTTTATTTTAGGTTTGTGTGGGGTTTTTTTAATTGCGTCTTTTGAATCCAAAGCATTTTAGCAAGCAGTAAAATGTCTCTATGGTCTTTAAAAAAAAAAAACTGTCTCCGGCCAACTTTTCTCAAGCGGAAAAGTGGATTGGATTCCTATTGAGGTGGGCCATGTTATTTAGGGTTTAAATAAAATCTCACCTATCTGATGTTTGCACGCCCAAAGTGCAAGTGAACCGATCTTAAGGGCTGTGTGGGGGCTATTCTGCACGTTCTTGCAACGTTCTTATTTAATGACCTATCTTGGGTAGATGAAAAACTCTTCCCTTGGCCAAACAAGGCACATTTCACAAAAAAACATACGAGTTTCTAAACTGGGAACTTTTCTTCAAATCGGATTTCCCTGGAGGGGAAGAGCCTAGCCAGGATCACCTCTTGTTCTCCACAAGCAGGGAGGTTTGGGGATGATGGAAGCCGTAGTCCAGCACGTTTGGAGACACTATTTTGAGAGGGAGGCGTTGTAGGCCAGAAGAAGCCAACGTGGTGGTGCCCCGCAGTGTTTTGAAATGACACCAATCCTGACAGTCCTTAACTGGAGCCGAGTCCCAAACATCTGGAGAACATCAAGGTTTCAGAACAGAACAGAATAACAGAGTTGGAAGGGCACAATGGAGATCTTCTAGTCCACCCCTCTGCTCAAACAGGAGAGTTTCTCCAGCCCTACCATCAGGGCCAGCCTACAACTTGCTTACCTTTCTGGACGCTGGAGGCGATGGGACCTGTGGTCCAAGCCCATCTGGGAGATGCAGGAGCTCTTACCTCCCCCAGGCTGCGGATGATAGGCGTTGCAGTCGGGCGAGTTTTGGTGGAACGGGAGCGCCGGCTTCCCTAAGCTTCTCTTCGCTTTCCCACGGGCTGTCTCTGCCCCGTCATCTGGCGAGAGGCGGATCCCGTCGCTCGTCCCATATTACGCACCGCCTGCTAACTAACACGCACACACTCTCGCGCTTTCCGAGTAGGTTTTTAGGACGGGGGGGGGGGGGGGGGGGCGGGTTCCGACATGGCACCTTCCAGCTGTTGCGTTCCGTAAGACAAGATGTCAGAGCGCACAGACCGGGAGCCGTACGGCCGAAAGGTTGCAGGAAGATGCCGCGTTGGCTCCGCTCCTTTCGCGATCTTAGAGTTGCGATCCTAAAGAATGTTTTGTCCCCCTTTCCTCCTCCGCCCGTTTAAAAGAGGCTGGTTGGTTTTCCCACCCACCCCCTCGACCCTTCACCAAAATCTGTAGAATAGAATAATGGAGTAGAGTAGAGTAGAGTAGAGTAGAACAGAACAGAACAGGGGAGAACAGGGGAGAACAGGAGATAATAGAATGGATGGAGAAGAGAAGAGAAGAGAAGTAGAATAGAATAGCATAGAATAGAATAGAATAGAATAGAATAGAATAGAATAGAATAGAAATGAGAACTTCCAGAGGACGTGAGTGCTCCATCTCTGGAGGTTTTCAAGAAGATTGCACAGCCATTTGTCCAGACTGGTATAGACTCTCCTCTCAAACAGGAGGTTGGACTAGAAGACCTCCAAAGTCCCTTTCAACTCTATTCTATGTGCTTTTCACACACACACACACCCAATATTTTCTGGCGACAGGTGGCGATATTGCACCGAGTCATACCTGCTTGTTTTCCTTTTTGTAAGCAAGTGGAGAACACAGCAATTCTCGACTTGCTTACAAATTTTAAGTGGGCTTCAACTCCTAGAATTGGCTGGGGAATTCTGGGCCCACCTACCTTAAAAGTTGCCAAGAGTGAGAAACGCAGCTCTGGAATGTTGTCCCTGGAGGACCAAGCCCCAAGGAATGAAACAAAACTAGTTCTTTTATTGGCATTTTAAAAGTTACTGTCCTTGTTGCAATTGTTTTGGTGGCGTGGTTCGAATTCTACAAGGAATTATTTCCTGGTTTTGAAGGACTCGTGGTGACCCTGAAAGGGGAATAGGCTCTGTTTTCAAAGGATAAGGTGCGCTGAACTTCGTTTCAAAACAATTTCAGGTTTGTGTTGTATCTTGAGGGCTTTGGGTTTTTTTTCCCCTTTGTCCCAGGCCAGTTTCTGTTCTGAGACCTCTGTGGATCAGTGTCATCAGGAGTCACACCCACCCACCCCTAGTTCTGGATCTATAAAAAGAAGAAGCAGATTTTATTTTCCAGGTTCTTTGAACGGTGCATATTTGCATCCCGCTTTCCGGAGAGAGAGAGAAAAAACCAGCAGGATTTGTACACTTTCCTTACTGGTAAACCAGATCACCCCAGGTGGGTTTTTTTCCCCATCTGTTCTTTTCTGTATTTTTTCCAAATTCTCCACAATCCTTTGGCAAACGTGATGTGGTGGTTCTGACTTCGAAAGCCTTTTTTTCAGTTCCTGCATTTTATTTGTAAAGAAAATATTTACTCTATTGGAGGAAGTGAATCTTTTCTCTTGCGTCCAGGGTAGCCTTTCTGATGATCTATTTTCCAATTTTTCCTTATCTTATAGAACCACCCTGTCCTTGGCCCAATTGCTGTTCCATAAATGAGTTTACAGCAAGAAGGGAGAAAACCTATAAAACCAGTTCATTGGATTGGTGATGCATTCCAGAACCATTTTATTTACTTATTTATTTCCTTCCTTCGACATGTTGTAAGTTCCATTTCTGGCAAAGAGACTTGTCCTTCTAAGCTCTAAAATGGGAAACCTTAGCAGCTGTATTTGACACATGTCTCCCGATTTACTAAAGTTTTCAGGTTTAGATTTTCTTAAAACTCATCCAGAATTTCTCCGGGTATCTGGAGATAGTCCCTAGCTCCTGCCTCTGTTCTTGATAGTTTTTTCTTTATCCATTCCTACCTCGTGGATAAAAACGACAACATTGGTGGAATGACCACATATCCCATCTGCCTTGTTTTGTCTCTTGAAGAAGATCCAAGTTTCTGTGAGATTTCCACAGACGATGAGTAGAGTGGAGAGTAAGAAAGGATGGTGTTGAAGTGTGGGAACGTACATGACACGTCCCACCTATAGGTTGACCCTTAACTTCCACCCACAATTGGAATTTCCATCATAAGGCAACGCAGCTGTGAAGTTCAGTTGGGCCCGATTTTCCAAGTTTTTCAGCTGTTGGCCCTTTAAGCAAATCATGTGGTTGTTTAGCGAATCCAGCTTCCACCAACGGGAAATGTGCAAAGAAGGTCACAAACCATGATCCCATGACCACCGGATGTCACAATTGGTCGTATATGTGAGCCAGTTGCCAAGTGCTTGTATTGCAACCACTGACTGACCGATTCCATTTTCAGTTCAATTTATTACAATCATCATAGACCAGAAATCAGAACGAATGAAAACACTCAGTAAATATACAATTAAAAATTCCAGCATAAAATAATAAATAACAACTAAAACCTGGGATAAACTACTGAACTATACTACAATTACAATCCATAAGCTGTGTGGCCCATTGTCAGTTTAATAGTAAAAGGGAAAGGAATAAGCAGCATTTAAAATTTGCCACATTTGTTGTATAAAAGAGCTATGCTGGATTAGACACGTGTTTCTGACGAATCCCCAGTGCTGCTCTGCAGAATTTAGCCACCTGTGCTGTAGTTATGGGCTGTTCATCCTTAAGGAGCCACTGGAGATGAGCAATTTTGGAACAGCCAGGATACCTAGCACCTATTGGCAGAATATTTTTCCCCCATGAATCTCTGAGTAAAAGGAACATCGAAGGAGTAAGTGACCCACAGTCTCCACCTCTCCTGAGCCACAGGAACAGAGTCTTTCAGTCAATGGTATCTTTTTATACTTGCTATACAAGATGGCTGATGGAAGCGCATAGCACCGTGTGAGCGAAAATGCTTTCTGGTGGTTTGCTGATCCCAACTGGCTAAGATGCCTGATAGGAGTGACAACATACCTAACCATATCGAACCAGTGTTATATTAACTCTGATTAAGTCCAGGACTGTTTGCATCGGAACAAGGGAGAAAGGAGCTGAATAAAAATGGACACTGTGAACATGAGTTGATATTTTGGCATTTTTCAGGCAGGGATACAATAGACACTAAAAATCTTTAAGACCTCGTACAGTACTGCAAAGTTTAAAAGAAAAGGAAAGAAGCTAATTCCCGAGAGAAACCTTTGAATCCCTGAACTAAGCAAAGCTGGGCATAATTTGAGAACCGGTGTCTGATATTTGTCTTGGATTTTAAACCTTTTGCAGTATTTGGATTGGAGATCATTGTTTATCCTGCCGCACTAAGCTATAATATTTCCTTCTTTTTTTCCTTTCCATCAAAACAAAAAAAAAATCAGAAAGTCACCTCCAGGATAGCTTTAGAAGTGAGGGCTCAGAACCAGGGTGGAGTTTATTCTCAAATACAGGTAGTCCTTGACTTACAACAGTTCATTTAGTGACCACTCAAAGTTAGATCAGCACTGAAAAAAGTGGATTATGCCCGTTTTTCACACTTACAACCATTGCAGCGTCCCCAGTAGTGGTATTCTACTGGTTTGGTCTGGTTTTGCCGAGCTGGTAGTGCCAATGAGCTCTCCACTGCTCTGCTGTTGGGCCCACCTGCCCAGGCTTCCATACTCACCTTTATTTCTTGCTTTTGAAGTGCAGCTGCTTTGCATGGCACAGAAATTGCCGCACGGCAGCTGCTGAAGCAACAGGGAGAGTGTAGGATTGCAGGAGATGAGTTGGAACATCTCTCCGTCTGTGCAAATGTTAGGAATGTAAGTCACCTAACAGTTATTTGGGTTGGAAATATATAAGCATATATATTTATATATATGTTTATATATAAATATATAAAGGATAGACATTTTAATACTATGCCTGTAATTGGGATACTAAAGAATGCTAAATCTGTAATTGGGTGTGGTTCCGCAAATGGCCATAAAATGGAGCCAGAAACCTGGGTTGTTTAGTCTCAGTCTCAGTGAGTATCTGTTTTCTTCTGTTGGAGAGTATTGCCGTTCCTCCTAATGACTGTTACTGATCGTTGATGTAAGTCTGTTACTGAACTGTTTTTGATACTGGATATTTGGATTATCCCTGGACTGAACACTGACTGCTTTACCTGTGAATGACTTGGACTGCTTATCTTGGAATGTGCTTAAACGTTTATTGGAAGTAAAAACTTGCATTTACTGTACAGTGTATCTGTGTGCTGTTTGTGTGTTATTCTTCACTGCTCTCACTACGTCTCCCTGTATGCGCTCATTCTCCTAATGGGGAATTACCTCAACACCCTGCACCTGTGCAAAGTGTACATTTGGCATGCGCGTGCCCGCATAGTATGTACACAAGCGCAAAGCGCACCCACCAAGCCACCTCCACCGAACCGGTGGTTAAAAATCTTTGAATTTCACCACTGAGTGTCCCCCATGGTCACCTGATCAAAATTCAGACGCTTGGCAACTGACTCATATTCACGGCCTTCAAAGTGTGATTGAACAGCTGTCTCATTCAACAACAGAAATTTTGGACTCCACTGTGGCTGTAAGTCAAGGACTACTTGTAATTGATGGTAAATCCAATGTTTGTTCGTCTGACAATATAGCCCAGGGGGGTGGGGTAAGATATGGAATTGTGCTCTGAAGATTTGGTGGGCTTCTTCCTGGAATGTTTTGCAGTCTTCTGATGATGGATTATAATATCCCGGCAGGAATCCTTTTGCCATTTGAAGGTAGAGGAGGAATTATCTTTGATTGATTGCAAATAAATTAACACCACCACCACCCCTCGCATCTCTCTTTCTTGTGGCCGGTCCAGGATTTTCTGCTCTATTAAATCCATATGGAAATAATTCGTTGAGATGGATAGATTTGTTTGATCTCTATGCATTGTGGGATGCTTAACCCTTTCTGGGTCACCACCTAAAAAAA